GTTGATGATGACAAAACCTTGTCGAAACGTTGTACATTTGCTGTTGTATTAAAGTTTTTCTTCATTACAATAGGACTACGTTTACAGCATTGTGATTTCTAATAGGTTATCCCAGAAATTACTCCTATTCTATACGGCGGTTGAAAAGGTATGTAATGGAAGCAGCTTATCTATAATAGGTAATTTGTGTCGCTTTTACAGAAGGAAATCCTTATCGATTATATTGCATACTGTTGCCTGATGCAGTTAGTCGGCTATTAAAACCGAACTTGGTGTTCATGTATTCTCACCTGCTACAAAATGCAACAGTTTGTTTACCATTGCTGCTGACGACTTGCAGAAGTTCTTTTTTTCTGAACGGTTTTCGTTACCCAACTAGATCCACATCCCCTTGTTTTCCAATGGCATTAAGCACAGGATATCCCGCCTTGGAATTATAAATCCCTGATCATAAACATCTTTATGATATGAGTGTATGAATATTCCGCGTTCGAAAGAATTGTTACATACACTTCCAAAAGCGATCAATTTTAGTTGGCATCACATAACCTACGTAGCGTCTTGTTACATACACTTCCAAAAGCGATCAATTTTAGTTGGCATCACATAACCTACGTAGCGTCTTGTTACATACACTTCCAAAAGCGATCAATTTTAGTTGGCATCACATAACCTACGTAGCGTCAAAATGTAGTTCTGATAAATGCCGTAACTTTACACTGACTGTGATTATCACTGGACCTGCTGATTTGCATATTGAAAATCATTTTGCTATAACATATTGAACCCTCTGCACACGAGAGTATAATTATGTCTCGATAGTTTGCACTGGCTGTCATGAATCCAATCAGAAGTTCATTATTGTTCAGTCATATTATTAATTTACATAACTTCATTTTTCAGATATGAGTTATATGCAGGACTTTGAAGAGCACGAGGGTACGTGAAACTGGCACTATTAATAATAAAAGTGGTCGAGGTAGTAAATCAACTCTCTAAAACAGAGTATCCTTTTTTTGCAGAATAGATGACTGTCGAGTAAAAAATCCCGCTATTCGATGATAAAAAGTAGCCCAAGAGTTGGCGATGGGTGGTGATGACTAACTGCCTTCCTTCTTGTCTTACACTGCTAAATTAGGGATGGCAAGCGCAGATAGCCCTCGTGTAGCTTTGCGCGAAATTCAAAACAAACTATTTGAAGTCAAGTTACCTTTAATGGAATTCGAATATTTAATAGATATATATAATATATAATGGGATTCTAAATTTATTTTCCTTAATATTTTCTCTAGGGGTTCAACATTAGTGTTGTAGCCCTAGTGTTGTAGTGTTGTAGCCCAATATAAATTGTTTTCATATTATCGTTGGTTGGTCTTTCTTTGACTTTATGGAAAAAAGATTTTTCTTGCTTTAAGGTGGCACTTTCTAATAAAACGTTTTGGAAAATTGAGCTCTTTGACAACAGAAAATATATTTTTAATTTCGTGTTCATGTGTTGTCGGGTGACATGTTCTATAGGCTTTAAGAAAAAAATGACTCCCCCCCCAATGACACAGTGGAATATCTGCGGACTTATAACGCTAGAAACCAGGTTTCGATACCCGTGTGGGGAGAGCACAGCTAGCCCATTGTGTAGCTTTGTGTTGAACTACAAAATAACAAACAAGAAAAAATGAATATATAATTGATGTTTATGGAGGCATGAAAATAACTGAACGTAAATAATTTATCGGTTTACGATAATAGAGGGACATGTTTTAAGTTTTCTCTGGTTATCAAACTTCCTTTCTTGAGAGACATATGTAATTGTATTTGTGTGTGTGTATATATATATATAATGCTAAAACTCGGATTTCGATATCCATGGTGGGTAGAGCACAGACAGCCCATTGTGTATTT